AAGGAGTAATCGACAAAAGATGCAAAAAAAATAACCTTGAATTAGGCTTATTTTTTACGTTAGTTTTGAAGGATGTTGTCTTGCTGCGACGGCTAATGCTCAGACAAACGCATGACACCAGAGACACCAGTGGAAAACCAAAAAGCAAATCCAACAGCAATGGAAAAAGAAGAACAACACCACATCATATTTGCTTTTGTTCAACTCATTTCATGTGAGTTTTTCTTGTTTTAGTCCGATTGGACAGCACTGGGCGCCATGGATGAATCTTAAAAATGCACCAAATCAGTCATTTTTTAGGGCCCAAATTCACAAACAAGTTCTCCAGGGATCAGCATTGATGGGGTCTATGAAATAATCCGTTTGAAAAGAAAATTTTGAATGTAGCCAAAACCATAGTTTTTGACCAAGACTTTAGATTTCCAAAAATAATGTCTAAATAAGGACTAATCGATGAAAAAGACTATGTTTTTCATCGTTTTTGGCTAAGCCCTGAAGATTCCTTCAAAAACAACGTCATAATATAATGAAACTAGCTGCAAAAAATGTAAAAAAAAATGTGTTGAGCCCGTTTTCTGTGGAAACAGCATCAAAATCAATGGTTACAACAAACTCCTAGATTTCCAAAAATAACCTCAAAATAAGGTCAAATTAAGGTCAAAATAAGGTCGAAATAAGGACTAATCGATGAAAAAACCCATGTGTTTTTGATGGTTTTTGGCTAAACCATGAAGATTCTTTCAAATCAACGTCAAAATAAGGTGAAAATAGCTGCAACAAATTGAAGAAAAACGTTTTCTGTGGAAACAGCATCAAAATCAATAGTAAAATGGTGAAAAATATGGTAAAAACCATGGTTTTTACAAACTCCTAGATTTCCAAAAATAACCTCAAAATAAGGTCAAATTAAGGTCAAAATAAAGTCGAAATAAGGACTAATCGATGAAAAACCCATGTGTTTTTGATGGTTTTTGGCTAAACCATGAAGATTCTTTCACATCAACGTCAAAATAAGGTGAAAATAGCTGCAAAACATGGCAGAAACCATGGTTTCGAGCCAGGTGTCTGTAAAGACACCACCAACCTTATAATATAATGAAACTAGCTGCAAGACATTGCAAAAACAATGGTTTTTGAGTCCGTTTCTCTTGAAACAGCATCAAAATCAATGGTAAACTGGTGAAAAATATGGTAAAAACCATGGTTTTTCCAAACTCCTAGATTTCCAAAAATAACCTCAAAATAAGGTCAAATTAAGGTCAAAATAAGGTCGAAATAAGGACTAATCGATGAAAAACCCATGTGTTTTTGATGGTTTTTGGCTATACCATGAAGATTCTTCCAAATCAACGTCAAAATAAGGTGAAAACAGCTGCAAAACATGGCAAAAGCAATGGTTTTTGAGCCCGTTTTCTGTGGAAACAGCATCAAAATCAATGGTAAAATGGTGAAAAATATGGTAAAAACCATGGTTTTTACAAACTCCTAGATTTCCAAAAATAACCTCAAAATAAGGTCAAATTAAGGTCGAAATAAGGACTAATCGATGAAAAACCCATGTGTTTTTGATGGTTTTTGGCTAAACCATGAAGATTCTTTCAAATCAACGTCAAAATAAGGTGAAAATAGCTGCAAAACATGCCAGAAACCATGGTTTCGAGCCAGCTATCTGTAAAGACACCACCAACCTTATAATATAATGAAACTAGCTGCAAGACATTGCAAAAACAATGGTTTTTGAGCCCGTTTTCTGTGGAAACAGCATCAAAATCAATGGTAAAATGGTGAAAAATATGGTAAAAACCATGGTTTTTACAAACTCCTAGATTTCCAAAAATAACCTCAAAATAAGGTCAAATTAAGGTCAAAATAAGGTCGAAATAAGGACTAATCGATGAAAAACCCATGTGTTTTTGATGGTTTTTGGCTAAACCATGAAGATTCTTTCAAATCAACGTCAAAATAAGGTGAAATAGCTGCAAAACATGCCAGAAACCATGGTTTCGAGCCAGGTGTCTGTAAAGACACCACCAACCTTAAATATAATGAAACTAGCTGCAAGACATTGCAAAAACAATGGTTTTTGAGCCCGTTTTCTGTGGAAACAGCATCAAAATCAATGGCAAAATGGTGTAGAATATGGTAAAAACCATGGTTTTTACAAACTCCTAGATTTCCAAAAATAACCTCAAAATAAGGTCAAATTAAGGTCAAAATAAAGTCGAAATAAGGACTAATCGATGAAAAACCCATGTGTTTTTGATGGTTTTTGGCTAAACCATGAAGATTCTTTCAAATCAACGTCAAAATAAGGTGAAAATAGCTGCAAAACATGCCAGAAACCATGGTTTCGAGCCAGCTATCTGTAAAGACACCACCAACCTTATAATATAATGAAACTAGCTGCAAGACATTGCAAAAACAATGGTTTTTGAGCCCGTTTTCTGTGGAAACAGCACCAAAATCAATGGTAAAATGGTGAAAAGCATGGTTCCTCAAAACAATGAATCAGGTTCCGTACCAGTTTTCCAGCAATGAAAGTCCACTGACTCAGTTTAATTTCAGCAGCTCGGGGCTGCCTATCTTGGGAAACCATTTCTTTTCACAACACTTTTCTAATTGGGCGTCGAAGACACCAAGAGCATATGGTTCGTATCGTCTCTTGTATTCCCACTATGAATCATCAAGAAAATGGCCCCAAAAAATAGCATTGAATCAGAAATGATTATATCTTATTTTGGCCTTATTTATTTGAGGTGATGGTTTCTGTTTTGGGGTTATTTTCTAGGGGGGGGGTTCAGGGGGGGGGGTGTTTGGAGCCTATGATGTATATGCGCATACATGTTTGCACGTGCGAAAAAATGTATACTATAGTATGTACATATGGGCGGTGTATATCTTGTGTGCATATGTGTGCTAATGCAATTACATGCAATATCATAAATCATCATCATATATATACATATATAAGTGGGATTGTCTGGGTGTGAGCCTTATGCAATATCTGCCGCCTCTCTGCGATGGCCACGTTGCTGATCACTTCAACGACGATGCCGATCAATATGTTCATCAGTGTGATGGCCTTGAACATCAAACATAGGGTGTTAACATGGGTCAAAAGTGCCGGGAATATCATGAGTTTACATGGGTTTATATGGGTCTATATCTAAGATATCATGAGAATAATCGGACATATCAACCATCAAAACATTGGAATATCATGGGCTATCATTGGTTTAATGCGTATCATGGGGTGCGAACAATCGGTGTGATGACCTTCATCCCAGAATTATCAGTTACTAAACTGATCCACTGACCCCTTCATGAACAATAAACGTACAACCATGAAAATCATGCACATTAGAACATCATGGAAGATCATGGGTTTTTATGGTTTTACAGTAGTAGTAATGCATATATACTGATTCCTGATGTATATATATATATATGTGTGTGATAAAACGTCTATATCTCTCTCATCACTGCTCCTCAGCACGTTAATAACTACAACAGTGTGGTGCTTTCGGTTCATAACCAAGGCCCAGATCTGGCCAAGAGGCATTGATGAACATCACAAAGTACATACCTTCAGCGGAGGGCAGCTGGAAATATCCAGAATCCAGATATAGATCCACTTAGATGGGCCATGGGATGAGCTATATAACTGGTTAGTAGCTGGCTTATGAACCAGTAGATCCCAATTATCCATTTACTACCCAGTTAGCTAACTCCGCCCATCTAAGCACTTTGATTCCTGCTTAAAGCCTCAATTCTCGACATTTTTGAAAAGTAATTTAATGCCCATTGTGGGGTGTACTCCATGTTTGGACTTAAGAGGCATAAACTGTCCCAGCATTTATTGTCATCATATGTTGCGTCCCCTCCTTCAAAGCTGCCTTGTTTGGGTTGAGCTGGGTGATTTTGTGACACCAAATGTATAAGCATAGTCCATTGGTCAAAACCCTGAACACTTAGATTGGCAGAAATGAATTTCTCTCAGATAATAACAGTATGTAGTAGGTGTGTGCATGTTCATGCCAAGTTTCAGGCAAAAACAAAGGACGCATTTCACAAGACCAGCATCGACGATCAATCTGTAGCATGGCATCAGGCGTGGGGCAAATCAAATAAGATAAAGGCTTGAAAATCCTCACAACCCATGAAAGCGCAAACGGCAGCAAGAGTCCAGAGGGGGTTTAGAGATCAATTCTAATCCATTCTAGCCTGATGGCACCTGGTGAGACCAGCTGCGCGGCTGGATGGGAAGCAGGTGAACTTGCCCAGCCATTTTGATGCTGGAAATTGGGTCGAGACCCTAGCGCCCTAGCGGCCTGGCAAGCATGTTACCGAAATTCACAGAATGGTTTTGATATGTCTTGATCTAGATTATTCATGGTTATTCATGAACCCAATTTCAGTTTTTAAGGTGTTGACACTTGCCCGTGGAAACCATCACTCTTGGCTGCAACTGAGAGGCACAGCAAATGAGCATAGAGGCTCTCGGTGATAAACTGGTCCTTGGCACCATTAACATCTTCAGGTCCCATGGGTTTCTCTGGATATATGTTCCCCAATCAGATTGTCAGATTGCCATAAATTGGGGTATCCGCATCCCCCGTTTTCAAACACACCCACATCCCCAGAAAAAAGTGTTGGGACTTTTTTGAAGCGGAGATCAAGGTCCATGAGACCCCGGGTTCACCAGTAGCGCCGCTGAAGTAAGGGAAACATCGCAACGCATTCGCCAACTTCGATGAGTCCCACTTGAAGGATCGTCTAGCACCTTGTCGTTGTAACGGGCTATATAATATACTTATCAATAGCCGAGGAATTGGGGGGAAAGTATTAGTCATATTTCCGACCAAAGTCTTATCTTGGTGATGTTCCCAATGTTAATTCCACACCCACAGCCCACACACACGCTCACCAAAAATCCTTGACCTCCAAAATTAGATGGAGGAGTTGTTGAGTCTCAACATGACTATGGAATATCAGCACTTTTAAAGGCAAATCAACCGTATAATGGGGCATTTTGAATAGCCCAGACATTCCTGGGACAACTGAACTTCAGTCTTGACCATCTCGGAGCCAGCCGTCCAGGGCACAATCAAGGTGATGATCTCATCCAGCATGGTGCAGTGAACAAAGAGAGTCTGCATGGAGGCCTCGGAGTGCTCCGGAGAGAACCAGTCTCTGGCAAGCCAACATGAGAAAGAAATTGATTCCAAAGTGGCAATACCTGGATCTTCCGCAGGCTGAAAATCCAGCCCGAATGCTTTCAGGCTGAAATTTCATCCCGAATCCTGTAAGCCTCAAATTTTCTCCCGCATGGATTTTGGCTATTTTGGACCTATTCAGCAGGATAGATGTTTAGAGTGGATTGATAATCAATCGTTGGACTGTCATAGAGATGAGCAACATATATTCAAATTAGGTGGATCACAAATGGGAAACAATGATGTTCCAGGCTATGTGGAATTAGTGGTTCGCTTTTTTTCGCCTGAATGACGCGAGATTTTGCCTTTTTGATGCCTAATTTCGCCCGAGGCAAAATCAACAAAATTGCCAAAAAAAACGTGTTAGAAGCCGTCAACCAAATTTTCTGCAGCCAGCACAAATCACTAGCTGGCTGAGGTAAAAAGCAAAGGACGGTGCCAGTAGAGAAGATTATCATAGATGTTGATACACTGTTTGTTCATTGGAGATTTTCGCCCGAATTGGGTTTTCAGCCCGCAGGCTGAAATATCAGCCCGAACGAAGAAAAGGCTGACCTTTTATCGCAGGCTGAAATAACAGCCTTTTGGAAGATCTAGGTATGAAATATGAAATATGATCCATGTAACTGTTCGATCTTTTTGGGGTTACTACATCCCCTAAAAAAAGGTAGTAATCATTCATCATTCAACCAACCAATATAGATTTCGTCAAACAATGTTGTATCACATCAACACTTTGTTGGTGAACATGTCAAACCGTGAATGTTTTCATTTCCCCTTATTTTTTATGGAAGAGTCATACTTGGTTTAAGTTGGTGAAATCCCCTTCCGAAAGCCCACCTGCCGGGGCACCAGAACTGAGCCAAAAGCGGCTTTGCCGACCTCCGTCTCTTCTAAGGTCACATGGTATGCAATGGCGATCATGTAGTGCGAGGCCAGAAGCCTAGGATTCTGATGGGTTCGACATCGAAAAATTGGATGGGGAAATGATGGGAAATTTAACATGTTCAAATTGGAGTCAACATAAATATACGCCATATATGACCAGAAATTGAACATGAAAACATATAAAGAGAATTTAATAAAACAAAATAAAACTGCTGCAAATGCTGTAGAGTGAAACCTGACCTAGTCTGAAGACCTCGTCGCTTGGTGGGATGACAGCTCAGCCTGAGAGGGACTTTGTCTTTTTTTTCAAGATTTATTGAAGTCGTCCTGGAAAAAGTGCGCCAAAAAAGATCTCAAAAGGTTGGGCCCCCAAAAAAAACTGACAAAGGTTCGGTTCCATTGGTTTTGGACCGAACTCCCAGCCATTCATTGGGCATGCGAGCACCAGACCGTGGCGCCGATGGCCGAGTTGCAAGATCAACGCAAAGAAGACCTCCAGCTGTGATCTATCCCAATGAGTGAGTGGCTTATATCCTCCAAATGGACATAGACCCTGCCAGATAGGGGTTGGAAGAGTTTCCACTAAAAATCAGTCATTTTCAGGGTCCATGTTCATTTACCCGAGGGTGGCATATTTATTTTGACCCAAACTCTAAGATGTTATAAGTAAGGTAAGTGGGGGTTTGTAAAAAACCCCAGCCCTTTCAAATGTTTACAGACGTTATCTTGTTTTTTTCCTCTTATCGTGTTTCCAAGCGCTGGCTTCACACCTTGATCAAAGAATTCACATGAGCGAGGAAAGGGAAAAAGATAAAAAATAGTAAAGGAAGGGAAAGGAAAGAATAGGAAAGGGAGAGGAAAAGAAAGGAAAGGAAAGGAAAAGAAAGAAAAAGGAAAGGAAAAAGAAAGGAAAAGGAAAGGAAACGAAAGGAAAAGGAATGGAAAAGGAAACGAAAAAGGAAAGGAAAAAGGACAGGAAAAAGGAAAGGAGAAGGAAAAGGAAGAGTAAAGGAAGAGACAGGAAAAAGGAAAGGAAAGGGAGAGGAAAAGGAAAAAAAAGGCAGTGTCTCACACGGACCATTTTTGATGCCAAAAGTTATCGTTTTCGTTATCGTTTTGTTATCGTTCGTGAATCCTGTGTGTGTGTGTTCCTTTTTTCTGGCAATCATCAAAAAGGTGGTGTAGCGACCACCAACCAGGCACCTTCCTTGTGCAGAATCTGCGCCACTATGACAACAAACACTGAAAGGAAGAGACCAAAAGCACTAAACAGCCGCAGAATGATGGACAAATCAAGAACTTTGGATTTCAAGAGTCTGGACACAGATCATTAACATAACCAACGTTATCGTTTTTTTCCTCTTATCGTTTTTGCGAGTGAAAGCTAAAAATGGCTCATGGGGGATCATGGAAGACTAAACGAATAGGCGTGGGGTTTTCACAAACTCCCAAGCGGGGTTAGTGAAGCTGTAAAATGCTATAATTGAGGGATACTTGGGGTGGTAAAAAACCCACTTTTTTTAATGGATGGACCACCAAGCAGCAGGTGCCTCATCATGGTTCATTGGTTCATCCACCAATCTAGTTCAGCCAATGGCCCGACCAGGGACTGGTTACAACAGGTTTGCCATGGAAAATAGGTTGCCCAGAATCTGTTGAACATCGCTTTCCCATTGAAACATGTTAATACTAGAAATCTTGAGGGTATACGACGAGCACCATTTCTGAAGACAACCCCCCAAGCCATCTGGACACCAATGCCAAGGCACAGAGCGGAAGGCAGTCAACATGGCTTTAATGAGTATCTGCAGCTCTGGGAAAAACCTGCTGGATGCAAGGGGTCTGAAAAAAAACGGGGGGGAAACATGGGGAAACCGTAGGAAAAATCTACCGGTGAATCATCACTCTCCCTATGTATGAACAGCGAAAAATTGGATTTACTTACCCCATTTTTCAGAAACACCCTAATATGTTGAGGTGAGTGCAGTAACCCCCCATCGTCGGCATGGACTTGGGCAGGTACAACAAATCAACCCTTGCTACGCTGTGGACCTGGGGCAACAAATATACAACAGCCGTTTTCACACATTTTTCCGCTCAACCACTTGGTAATTCATCCCAGTTTATAGTCAGTGCCTTATAACATCTTATAACCCAAGTTCAGCCAATAGGGCACGTAGGTTTGGTCCAGCAAAACCCACTAACTGGAACGAACCACCACGGTTTCATCTTCAAAACTCATGGAGCCCCAGGGCCCCCATCATCCTTGTCTGGCCCCCGGCGAACCTAACTAGCTTTGCCATTCGGCAGATGCGAGTCAGGCGCAAGATCCTAGATGCCCCGTGTTGGATATGGCCGTTCAAACCGCTGTGGGGTCAATTGTGGGGACTTGACCGCTGAAACTTAGACCGGGCAGTGATCAATGCCAAAACGGGAAGAGACTACATCAGAACTTCGTAGACTGCGACTACAACAACAGCGACGGATTTCATAGCAAGGATTTATATGGATATGCCAGGGATAAATCTCACAACATCAAACATGAAAAAATCTTTGTCTGACATAGACAACGATATATAGAACAATGCATATCCTTTATTTTTGTTCATGCTTCAAAGAACTTGATTAGCAAAATGGCAGTTCTCGCAAAACCACCGGCCAATTATGTCAGAAACTTCCCAGCACCTGGCGACCCGAACCTGAAGGACCTTAGGATCTCAGTTCGTCCTGGAGGCTGGCGAAAGTGCTTCCATTTACTCCAGCTGTTTGCTGGTTTCAATTCCCAGACTTTATGGTAGGATAATCATAACAGGTAGGGTGGCAAATGGAAAATAGTTCATGTTTGAAAGCAAGAAACCATAATGACTCCAAAGCCGCCCTTTCCTGGTCGAGGGAGCATTTTGCAACAATTCCCCACCGGCTTGGGCTCGTCCAAAAATAGAATACCACACTCTATCCCATGTTTTTCTTATCACTTTTACATTGTGCATTGCCAGTTGGTTGTTCGCATATCCTGCATCTTTATAAAGATTGTAAATCCCATTACGTTTCAATGTATCCACTCGTTTTAGGTGGCCACTGAGATCTGGAGCTCGCGGTTGAAGTCCGGAAGGACTGGTGGAAGGAAGGAAGGAAGGAAGGAAGGAAGGAAGGAAGGAAGGAAGGAAGGAAGGAGGAGGAAGTAACTCTGATAAAATCCAGAGACCCTCACCTGGCAGGTGGGGAACAATGTAAGTGCATCTCAAACAGCTGAGATTTGATCGTACCCTACAAATCATGATAAAAATTGTTGGTTTCCCAATGAAATATCACAAACATATAAAAACAAATGAAAAAACCCACCATATTCCTATCATAGTCCAATTAATTGTTGGTTATTCCCTTATGTTTCATGGTTAAACCCCTATATCTATCCGATCTATCCATTCATCAATTTGACACTTTGACAGGGCCAGCTTAGCCAGTCATCCCTCAGGTCCAGGCCCCTGGGCCCTCACACGTACAAAGGCTGCTTCACGTTGATCTACAGGCGTAGCCAAGGCCACAATGGTCATTACCTCCAGGCCCCAGGGGCATCGGGCTCGCCCCGGTGGGGCATCGCTGTGTTTATGAGATGACTTCATGACAACATACGAAATTGTACAAATAATATCAGATGGTATTAGATGATTGGATACAGGCCTTTGATACCCTTGATAAACTCATACGTTTGGACACATCATCAAGCACTATGCCATGTTAGTGGATTGGACAGCTATGCGATCTGACTATCTCACCAGGTCTTCAACTTCTCAACCGCAAAATGCCGAGCAACCCAGGTATCGAAGATGGTGAGGGGCACCAGAATAGCATCGAAGACAAACCTGGGCTGAACAGGGGTCTATCCATCAGCATTCATCAAATTGGTTTGAGGGGAATTTTAAAGGAAAACCCTATCTGTGATTCTAAAAACCATGGTTTCCCGTGGGTTTTACTTAAACCAATCCCTTGAAGCATAAAATTCAAATACACGCTTTGATGTGGCACACTCATAAACCAACCCCAAATATGACCAGAAATGGAGGATATGCATAAACACACACACACACATATATACATATATATATATGTATGTACACATAATCTGTATACGTATATATGTACATATGATAAAAACAATCCCCAAATTTGTAGGTATATATATATATATATGCATATATGTATGGTAGGTTTATGATTGGGTTTTGCAAGGTCAATCATTGATTGCTCAAAACATGCTGGAACCTCCAGAAAAAAAAAAAAAGTGACATTTGGGTCGAATGAGTTTGGAACTCAAGCATTCTGCCAGTCATACCCAAAGGGTCTGGTTGTCGTATTTGTTAACATGGGATGGTCGGGCACACGTGTTTGGGGTTTGGGGCCTTCCACCTCTGAATTATCCAAGGTAGCCCCCGTATAAGATATAGAATATATAGTATGTATGAAAACAAATAATATGCAAATATCCCATTAATTCCCATTAATTCCCATTTACATCCCACTTGTTTCCATTCATTCCCATTCTGCCTACTATATTTTGCTTCCATGGATGGTGCATGTTATCCTAGCTCCGTTCCGAAACTAAGGGATGTCGGCTCCATTCGTTGCCATAGCACCAAGGATCATGTGCACGATCTCGGCACCTGGGGGAGCTTTGTATATTGCCGGTATAAGTTCATGTCTGGCTGATTGATCGGATCTTGCTGAATCTATCCAATATTAGTGAGGCATAGATCTGGCTGAATCTAGCTGAATATTAGTGAGGCATATGGAATAATGTGGGATCATATGGAATAATATGGGATGATAATATGGAATATGACACACTATGACATATACAGTCATTAGATGTGATTATATCAACAATGGTAATTACAACATGGGATTGATGTGGGAAACTCTGGCCACCATTTATGGTGATTTTGAGATGGTTTATTCATGTTTATTATTCGGTTTGCTACATTATAGCGACAATATAGTTCAGCAATGTAGTGTTGCTATTCAATGTTATTAAGCAA